ATGATCCGAAGGGCCATAAACGGTTCGGTAATGATGATGTGTCACTCTCTAAACACTATGGCAGAGGAAGCACATCTTCAACTGGCCTTCATCAGGCGAACACTAAATCAACCCGCCAACTCTCAGACGCTGAAGTAATCAGATTTCCAACAATGGAAACAAACCCCATCCAGCTGCAGCGTTCATGTTGAAACAGAAGAAATTGCATTAAAAAAAGACGCTGAATGTGAAAGAAAAAACTTGGAATTAGTTTTTAAAAAAATATTTTTTCGGATGTGACTAGATTAGAGAAATTCATGTTTCAAAGACAAATTTGTGATTTTAATCTCATCCGAAGAGTGATTTAAAGAAATAGCTAAGCAAACCAAAAACAAAAACAACAACAGAAAGGATGACAGTGCTAAATGGAGTTCAAATCAAGCCACCCAGCTATAATTTAATTTCTTAGCCGTATTCAGCCTGGCTAACTGACACGTCCTGGCTCAGGAAGTTTCTGGAGCGCTGCTGGGTTTGGACCTGATGCTGATTTACAGCTGTGCTTTAGTGGATCTAATAAGCCGGGTAAATGCCTCCCCTCGGCCTGGCACCAGCCCACTGCCTTCGCCCTAATTATTCACATATTTTGGCAGCAGATTCCTTCCCTGCATCCCTCCCTTCCTAACTCCCTGACGCTCTGAGGATAGAGAGAGAGACAGACACAAAGCTCTTAATCAGAGTATATCAGTTAAAATAAATGAGAGCAGAATGAAAAGAACGCTTTGCTGAAATTCCCTGGCTCAGGCCAAATGAGTTGAGCCTGGGCCAGACGGGTGAGATGGGAGTTGGCTGTGGAGGGATGAGTGAGTGTGTGTGTGTGTGTGTGTGTGTGTGTGTAGCACTGCCAGTGGCTAGGGGAAATCTCTCACTGGATATAAAATTTAGGCACAGACAACACACTTTAACACATACAAACACACACTTGCCACATACTAACATTTATATATTGTCAAATAAACAAACAACAGGGATGCACAATATATCGGCACAGTATCAGTTATTGGCTAGTCTCAGCCTCAGACGTCACGCCCATGGACCGTTGGCTAAACGTCTGATGCATATGGCACACAAAAGTGGAAACACTTCCGGAGTTTCGAAGTCGTCATCAGATTGGTTGAATTATATAGGATTTCCGGGATACGTTCTTTAACATTCCGCATGGAAACAAAGATGCTGTGATGCCAAACCCCCTCACGAAAGAAGAAAGCCATCGTGTTTACAACTGTGACGATGAGTGCTTATCAGGATCAACTAAACGCTGGATTTTCAAAAGTATGTGAAATATTTAAAGTTCGCGGCATAGAATCTTTAAAATACACAGTGTGTGTTTTACACACCGGTCTGTTATTGTGGCGACATTTCCACTCCCCGAAACGTGACGCTGAAAGAAACTAACTGTGATTGGTTGTTTGACATGTCTGTCAAACGGACTTATGGGCGGGCCTTGGCCAATGAAAGCTGCCATGGATTCCAGACCTTCAGCCGTCAGTCTGAAGGTCTGGCTATGCGAGACTAGTTATTGGCTAATGCTAATTTATTGCTATTTTCAATAAAAAAAGATAAAATCATGATTTGCACAAAAATATTGGGCAGCAAATCAGTATATTAAAATGATTTCTAAAGGATCATGTGACACTGAAGACTGGAGTAATGATGCTGAAAATTCAGCTTTGCAATCACAGGAATAAATTACAGTTTAAAATATATATTTAAAAAAGTTATTTTAAATAGTAATACTTTTTTTTTAGAATATTACTGTTTTCAATGAGCACAAGAAATGTGAATATTGCCAATATTTGATATTTAATCAAGTACACTAACTTTCTCAATTTTTATTTAGATTATTTTTGCTGTAACATGGACTTAAAAGTTAATCAATAAAAGCAAAAATCATTTTAAAAACTTTTAAAATTATGGATTTTTAGTTTAGTTTAGTGTTTCATTTTATTTAGACAAAATAGTAAATAATTTTAATATTGGCCATAAAATTTAAATATTCATCATATTAGCCAATATATTAATATTGGTGTTTCTCTAACATAAAATGTCTAATCCCAAAAATGTCAGAAATTGGACAAATTCAAAAAAATATAATAAACAAAAAAAACATGATTAATAGTGTGCCCATTTCTCATATTTCCTTTTTTACTCTTTAGATTTTGTTTTGTAAAATTCTTTTATAATTGTTTAGAATCGAATGGCTACCTGCATGAGCACCAAGGCTCAACATGTTGGAGCACGTGCGCTAACCGTTAGGCTATGGCTTCGACTCTGATGCATATGGCACACAAAAGTGGAAACACTTCCGGAGTTTCGAAGTCGTCATCAGATTGGTTGAATTATATAGGATTTCCGGGATACGTTCTTTAACATTCCGCATGGAAACAAAGATGCTGTGATGCCAAACCCCCTCACGAAAGAAGAAAGCCATCGTGTTTACAACTGTGACGATGAGTGCTTATCAGGATCAACTAAACGCTGGATTTTCAAAAGTATGTGAAATATTTAAAGTTCGCGGCATAGAATCTTTAAAATACACAGTGTGTGTTTTACACACCGGTCTGTTATTGTGGCGACATTTCCACTCCCCGAAACGTGACGCTGAAAGAAACTAACTGTGATTGGTTGTTTGACATGTCTGTCAAACGGACTTATGGGCGGGCCTTGGCCAATGAAAGCTGCCATGGATTCCAGACCTTCAGCCGTCAGTCTGAAGGTCTGGCTATGCGAGACTAGTTATTGGCTAATGCTAATTTATTGCTATTTTCAATAAAAAAAGATAAAATCATGATTTGCACAAAAATATTGGGCAGCAAATCAGTATATTAAAATGATTTCTAAAGGATCATGTGACACTGAAGACTGGAGTAATGATGCTGAAAATTCAGCTTTGCAATCACAGGAATAAATTACAGTTTAAAATATATATTTAAAAAAGTTATTTTAAATAGTAATACTTTTTTTTTAGAATATTACTGTTTTCAATGAGCACAAGAAATGTGAATATTGCCAATATTTGATATTTAATCAAGTACACTAACTTTCTCAATTTTTATTTAGATTATTTTTGCTGTAACATGGACTTAAAAGTTAATCAATAAAAGCAAAAATCATTTTAAAAACTTTTAAAATTATGGATTTTTAGTTTAGTTTAGTGTTTCATTTTATTTAGACAAAATAGTAAATAATTTTAATATTGGCCATAAAATTTAAATATTCATCATATTAGCCAATATATTAATATTGGTGTTTCTCTAACATAAAATGTCTAATCCCAAAAATGTCAGAAATTGGACAAATTCAAAAAAATATAATAAACAAAAAAAACATGATTAATAGTGTGCCCATTTCTCATATTTCCTTTTTTACTCTTTAGATTTTGTTTTGTAAAATTCTTTTATAATTGTTTAGAATCGAATGGCTACCTGCATGAGCACCAAGGCTCAACATGTTGGAGCACGTGCGCTAACCGTTAGGCTATGGCTTCGACAGGTTATGTATGTCTCTCCTCTCTGTCTCAATGATAGGATGCTTGAGCTTCTCTTCAGACCTTCTGAGCTCTGTGCTGGGATGTCATCTGGACCAAAGCTCCATCAGACTCCTCTGATAAGACCTCTGCATGGAAATCCCCGGTGCCTCCCCCACACCAATCAGAGACTGAATCTCAAACGCTATCTCTCTTTGACAAGGTGAACAATGCTGTCAGTACACGATACAGGAGGATGCTGCTAATTTCTGGTGAAAGAGAGAGACAAAAGAGAGGTATGCAAGAGAAAGCGCAGCGATGGCTTGATGTGTGGGGAGAAATATGGTATCACAGCTTGCCTAAGGGAAGCCTGCCACAAAACTGCTAAGTCTTTCTTGACGGGCCTGAGACTGTCAGAGGAATCTTCTGATGTCACTTCCTCCCCCGACAGCATTGACATGCGTACGAGCCGTGGGAGGGATGGAGAGAGAGGAGGACTGCTCCTCGCCGCTGTATTCTTTAATGTCGGCTCTTTTATCGAGGATTCAAGCTGTCAGCTGTAATCAGAGGACTACTGGTGCGAAGCAGAGGAGATGAGACCTGCCTGTCAACAACCCATCATACACTCCACACATATGCTTGCACTCATCCCACTCATCACACCATCCCCGGAGAGAGGGAGAGAGACAGAAAACACAAGAGATACAGGTAGAGAAAGACAAAGTGGAAAAATGAAAAAAGGGAAACAAGGGGACAGGAAATAGAGAGCCGGTCTCATGGCGGCTGACAGGGGAAAGTTGCAACAAGCCACTTGTGTTTTGGTAGGTTTTTTTGCTGTCTATGTGACATCAGCGAGAATTAAAATCAAATTCAAATTTGTAGTGGGTAAACTCTAGGGCATGTCTTAAATGACACTTGATTATGTCCTACCAATATCAATGCCTATTCCAGCGTTTCCTGGGAATCCTGCTGAATCTATGGCGTCACAACAGAAGAAATTGTGGTACAGTGTGAATTGAATAGATAGAAAAAGGAAACACTGCTGTAAGTCCAGTGTCATGATTGGCTGACACAAAAATCCTCCATTTTGTTCAAATACGTTGCATCCATTTGCACCAAACTGGAAAGTAAGTTTTAAAACGAGCAGCATGGGTAATTTTAAAAAGGCTTTCGTCATTTGCTAGTCTGTTTATTTATTTTGCCCCAGGGAACACTACTACACGAGTTACATATCTTAGAATATACCATGATGAAATTATGTTTAATTCTGCATATTAAATTAAATAATTGACCATTTGATTTTAAAGTATAAAAACACACTCATCACACACTGCAGCTATAATTGATTTGATTTGTGTATTTCACTCTACTGAACTCAATACCAAGGCTTTAGGACATTACTGTGGTACATACACACACAAACACATGACTTCACCACAGCAGCAGCTGTTAGAGAATAACTAATAACTATTCGTGCAAGCAGACAGGAGTCAACCAGTGTTTGGTTACCAATTACTGCACAGCGTCCTTCGCTGTTTACTGCGAAATAATACTGCTGATTGATAACACTGCATCACCCCAGTTCTCTCAATGCCTCGGTGACTGATGTCTGCTATAAATTACACATTCACTTGTGGCCTCCTATCAGATGTGTGTGAAAACACTGGTTGACCTGAAATGAGGATACAAATCTGAGAATGAGACCGACTGAGAGAGCGAGAGAGGTGTTATGATAACTCCATGACCATGAATAATGTATATCATGTCACTAGCCAAGAATATATGTGACCCAGAACCACAAAACAAGTCATTAGGGTCAATTTTTCCGAAACTGAGATTTATACATCATCTGAAAGTTGAATAAATAAGCTTTCCATTGATGTATGGTTTATTAGGATAGGACAATATTTGACTGAGATACAACTAGTTGAACATCTGGAATCTGAGGGTGCAAAAAAATCAAAATATTGAGAAAATCGCCTTTAAAGTTGTCCAAACGAAGTTCTTAGCAATACATATTACTAATCAAAAATTTGGTTTTATTATATTTACAGTAAGAAATTTACAAAATATCTTCATGGAACATGATCTTTACTTAAAAGAAAACTCATTAATTTTGACCAATACAATGTATTTTTGGCTATTGCTACAAATATACCCCAGCGACTTAAGACTGGTTTTGTGGTCCAGGGTCACATATAACAACTCACATTTTTAACATATCTACACACACACCCCTGGGTGTTATACTTTGATATCTTAAAGGGATAGTTCACCCAAAAATTTAAATTCTGTTATTAATTACTCACCTTCATGTCGTTCCAAACCTGTAAGACCTGTTCATCTTCGGAACACAAATTAAGATATTTTTGATGAAATACGAGAGTTTTCTGACCCTGCATATACAGCAACGCAACTGACACGTTCAAGGCCCAGAAAGGTAGTAAGGACATTGTTAAAATAGCCAATGCGGTTCAGCCATAATTTTACGAAGCTATGTGATTATGAAGCTTTGCGCAAAGAAAACAAAATGACATTCTGAACATGACCTAATTTTACACAATGAATCTTAACTAAAAGTAAAAATATATTTGTTTGTTTTTGAACAATGAGTAAAACTTCTTTAATTTGTCGCACATGTTTAGGTTTAGGTCATTTTCAGCTCAGCTTCAATGAATGGCTAATATAAAACAGCTCTTTTCAGGAGTGCCTGAAGAAAGCTGAAGTCTCGTCCCTGATTATTTATTAACTGTAATTTATTCTAAAGCAGATTCAATAGAAACATAATGGATAATGGTGGTGTTATTGCGTTCCAGACCCCTGCAGTGGTTCTTTGAAATTGTGTGCGTGAAAGATTTTAGTGCTGGTGAGATAGATAAGTGTTTAAAAAGTGTTAATTGTGTGAATTAGTTTGGGGTTTGGGACAGTTGTTGCCCTGGAGCTCAGTGATTAGTATCAGTGTTTGCTTCCTGTCTCCTGCTAACTCTCTTCTCCCATGCTCTACCCAAACTCACTTATCCGCCTACAAATGCCTTAAGCTACTACTTTGACGCAGTAATGCGACAGTCACACACACACATACTCACACGTACACAAACAGGGGCTATGCTAAGGCTGGCTGTTTTATAGAACTCTTTAAAACCCAGACCACACATTGCTCTCCCCTCTCTCAAACTCCACATGCTGTGCACCCCACAGCCGAGTGCTGCCACATAATCTCATTGATCCTATTTTCTTACACAGTTTGGGCTCCTTTAATGTGTGGGAAACCAGCAGCGAGCTCCGGTGGTTTATTTCATATATCTAATTATGTCTAATTGACTAAATTTTCTCGTATTAGTCTCTCTCCCATTTATTGTGGTCCCACACTTGTTTTACGTCTGTTTTTAGCTGCTCTTTAGATTGTTTTACCAGCCAGTTCAACAAAAGTCCAGATTTCTGAGGTGCAATGTCAAAGGAATTATTATTAGCAACCATCTAACAATATTACATCTATAACAAGCAAACAACTCTTTTCAGCATAGCAGCAAATCAGCACATTAGAATGATTTCCAAAGGATCATGTGACACTGAAGACTGGAGTAATGGCTGATGAAAATTTAGCTCTGGAATCACAGGAATAAATTAAATTTTAAATAGTGCTGGGCAACGATTAATTGCGATTAATCGCATTCAAAATAAAAGTTTTTGCTTATATAAAATATGTGTGTTTACTGTGTATTTATTATGTATACTGTATAAAGACACACACACAGTATATATTTTGAAAATGTTTACATGAATTTACATTTATATTATATATATATATATATATATATATATATATATATATATATATATATATATACATATATTATACATATATATATACATATATTTAATATACAAACATAACATTTGTATTAAATATATACATGTATGTGTGTATTTATATATACATAAATGTACACAAAAACATTTATTTTGGATGCGATTAATTGCGAATAATCGTTGCCCAGCACTAATTTTAAAATATATAAAAAATTGAAAACAATATTTACAATATTACAATTATTATTGTACTTTTAAGTAAAAAGATTCAGCCCTGGTGAGCATAACTTCTTTAAAAAAAATAAAAATAATAATAATAATAAAATAAATGGAGCGATTCCAACAGGGTTCTCACATCGTGGTGCTTGGGCCCTCAAAAAAAACTTTTTAGTTTGTGTATGTCAGGATATAATCCTAAATAGATAATCACTGAAAGTTGCATAAAAAAAAGGCAAACGTGTTTTTGATGTTACAATTATATCTATACCTTCTTTCTGTTCCATTCCTTCCTGTATGTCACACACACCCACATGCAAACACACATCATCTCCCTCTCCCCCAATTACAAATGAGTCCATTAGTGCATGTGCAGTGCGCCCTGTGCTGCCGTCCCATAATGGCAGCTGAGATTTCCATCATGATCATAACGGTTCCCTCGGCTGCCATCAGCACAGATGGAAGGTCTCTCTTTAGAAATGAGCTATCTACCCACCAAAGGGCACATTGCAGGCTTTGTTATTTAGCCCGCTGTGCACGTAATAGCGTGAGTGTGTGCGTAATAACTTGTGTGCAGCCGCACGTGCCAAGTCTGCATTGTGTTTGATGAGCACTGAAAGGTAAATTGGTGATAAAATCGCTCTATACTCACGCGAATGGTAGTAAGACATCCATATTTTACAGTCACCTCTTATGATGCTTTGTTACAGTGAATGGATGCCATTAATTTGCATAGTCAATTGTGTTTTACGTTTTTCTTGCTTCATTTGATTCCGAAGCAAACCAGAGTGCTGGATTCATTACTGTCTTTGATTCATTTAAAACCATGTCGAATGAAAAATTGGAAACTGCATAGAATATGCAAAACATTTATCAGCTTTTTAACATACAACTGCATTTAAAGAAGTGTAAAAATAAAAACCATAAAAAATCGTCCACAAACGCATTCATGTGAACAGTCTAATTAGAAGTGGTTAAAAGTAAATGTGAGAAATGAGAGTACTCTACTGCTTTCTATTTGTCTTGATGTGGAAACACAGGATTCTGGGTACTAATTACCTTGTTACAGATAAACACATGCACACACGGCTCTGCTTTCTCCTGTCACAGTAAACGCCTTTATCTTCAAGCGTTTGTTGTCATATGTCTCAGTAGGGGTCTCGTCTGTGCCGAGATGATGTTTTCTCATGATTTACGTTTGCGAGAATATAAAAATGAGCAGAGAATAGCTTCTTCAGCTTACAGACCTTTACAAACTGCCTGAGGCTTTTAAAAGCTAAGGAAGGGCAGATTGATAGCAAGAAAAATGCATCTTGAAGGACCACAGCACTGAATAATTAAAAGAGATGGGACTGATATGATTGCGTGCTTATGGGAGGAACGTTTTTATCATCCAACCACCTCGCCCCACCTTAAAACCAGCCGAAACATTACATAAATGTCTTACTAAATTTATTAAAACATTACTTTTGTTTTTAATATCAAAATCTGTTTAACTGATTGAATGGATAAGCCAATGGATAAGGATATTCGGTCCCACTTTATATTAGGTGGATTTAACTATGTACTTACAAGTGCATCTTTAATTAATATTACTCAGTACATAAATGTATAATTACACTGTAACAAGGACACCTTAAAATAAACCCAAAACATGTTTGCTGCTGTTGAGGTGGGATACAGGTAAGGTTAGGGACAGGTTTGGTGGTATACAGTAGGTAGGTTTAAGGATGGGTTAAGGTTTAAGGGATGGGTCAATAGTGTAGCGTCTGGACTAATCAGACACATAATTTTTCATTTGATTTAACAAATCAATTATTCATTAGATTAACAAACATTCACAGACCCCTCACCCAATAAAAGATCACTGTGGATTTCGTGGACAGTACAAATTGATTCTTCTTTAATTAATTAATAGGAAAAACTTTCTTTGAATGAACACACATATCCTTCAGGTCATTGTGTATATTATTGCTGTCTTGTATATTATCTGTTGTATTGTAGACTAGTATATGCATGCTTATGATAGAACCACTCATTCATGTAACCTTACATATAACGTGTTTGGTCTCTATTAATTCGTATTCGGATGATCTTATTGAGAGTGTATATTGTATGTTTATACCTATGCAACATATTAGTGTTCTAAGAATCTTTATTAGTTTGTGCATCCACACCCCAAGCGAATTACATTTGCAAATGACCATGCCCTCACACAAAGGGTCGTAAAACCCTCCAGAAATTGCAACCTCCCACTTGGAATTCGGCCTTGACTTTTCCACTCAACAAGATTCTCTGACTCAAACTGGTTCTTTTTCATCAACCAACTTCAGCAAAGATCAACTGGGACCTTCAGACTGCATCAAGCCTTTCTTTCAGACAGACGAGACGTGCAAGTATTCAAACTTAGTCTTATTAATTGATACATTAGGTATCATTTGCACCTTTTTACAAAGGTGTGTTTGAACTAAGAATCTGATGTTTCCTTCAGGTGTAAATCTGCTGAATATCAAATGGTACCATAGTTTCATATTCTTATTTCTCTTCTCTTTACTGCGTTTAACTAAGCTTTAACGCTTTCCTATACAAACTGTATGTGTGTGTGTGTGTGTGTGTGTGTGTGTGTATGTGTATGTTAGACCAGTTTAAGTGTTTATGTAGTATGTTAGACTAGTTTAAGTGTTTATGTAGTTAATAAAGCCTTACTTGTATCACACTTGACGTTGTTCATTGTTTGCTCATAACCGGAGTCACTAATCATGCAGATTTATGCTACAAGCTCTTTGTAGAATTGTACAGTAAGAAAGTTATTTCCCTTAACCAGGAAATTAACGTTCTTAGAATTGACAGACAGTTGACCCTGAGAGGTCAAGTAAATATCTACAGCGGGTCTAAATATTTTTAATTAATTATAACTAGTTATGATTAATTATTCATATTTCCCCATGAGCTGATTCGCTACAATAGTGTAATTATAAATGTAATTACATAAATAATTACAGATGTAAGTACAAAGTAGTTAAGGCCACCTAATATAAAGTTGGACCGGATAATCATTTTTCAAACCAATTATGCAAAAAATAATTTACTCACCCATATGTTGATCCATACCTGTATGACTTTCTTCCTTACCTTTCTGCTTTTATCCATACAATGATAGTCAATGGGGTCCAAAACAACACTGGACACTATTAACTTTCATTGCATGGATTAAAAACAGAGATTTTTTTTTCAAAATAACTTTTTCTTTTCCACAGAAAAAATAAATTATACAGGTTTGGAAAGACATGAGGATGAGCAAATGATGATCATTTGTTATTGACATCAATTGTAATACACTGTGTCCGAACTGATTTTAAGCTCTGGAATTTTAAACTACCTCATATCAGTCCTATTTGCTAGACATTACATTTACATTAGCTTTTAAATTAAGTGTCTGTACGCTAATGTGACATTGGGTTTAATTAACCTAGAGTGAATCATTAGTTTCTAACTAAAAAAAACAACAAACTAACCATCCTCTGAGGTTCATTAATCTTAATTTCTCTCCAGAGGGCCACTTAGTGTCGGTGATCTGTCCTGAGTCGCTTACACCCTCACTTACACAGACTGGACACAATCAATGGCTCTCCTGCTCTCTGAGCCCGAGGGACCATTGCTGAGGTGTTTAAATAGGCCCTGCTAACAGCAGAGAGACAGTGGAGAGAATACCACAACCATTGCATCACACTGCTGTCAAGACGTCCATATAGAAATGAGCTTCAGTCATAATGCAAGACATCAGCAGGGCAGCCTCATTATTCCCAGTCAATACTGGCTGTCACAAAAGACGTAGGGTGTGGATGAACACACACACACACACACACACACACACACACACACACACACACACGGATGTAAGGCGAAGTCCTT